CACACACACACACACACACACACACACACACACACAGTCAGACATAAAGCTGGCAAGGTGAGACAGCCCAAACAAAGAGATGCTGAAAAGCAACTCAGAGTGGCTGAGTCACTACTGTTTATTTTAGGAGACTATAATGATTTAATGATGCTGTAGAAGAAGAAAAGTGGGGGTGCCGGGGCGGTGAAAAGGAATTGGGGATGTGTGAGGGGGGGATTGTAGTTTGCATTGTAATGTGTGAGTGAGTGTATGCATGTGTAATGTGCAAGTGATGAACCACAGGGGCGTGGGGGAGGGAGAGCTGGCGGAGGATCAGCGAGAGGTGAGCGAAGAATAGTGAGCTCAGGGTTTTGGGTGGTGATGATGTTCAAATGAAAAAAATAATAATTTGAAGTGGCTGTAAAAAGGATTGTTTTCATACACTGGGTGAAAGAGGATGAGGAGGGACACAATGAGGGGAAGAACTCCTTTGGGAAATCAAGGAGGACTTTTAAGGATCCCGTTCAGGGATTCAAACATGCTGCTGCTGACATTTGAAGTTTATTTTTGGTACAAGCCTCTAAGAGAATATGTATACAGGCTACAGTCTGGAGATGTGTCATGAAAAATGAATGGCATGGACTGAATGTTTCGGTGGCTTTTTACAGTCAAGCTAACTGTGGCTCTCACAGTGCTGCCCTGCTGCTAAGACTCGCACGGTTTGAGCTCATTCATAGAGTCGCATTCATTTGGTTTGTAACTCGCTGATATAACTAATATGACCTTGCACACAAAAATAAAAAAACACATAGAAAAATCTGTAGCATTGCCGTTAAGGTGACTACACACATTCATCAAATGGATACACACACACAAGTGGAAAAAGGTATTTCGGGACAGGGAAGTTTGTGTTTGTGTCAGTGTGTATATGTGTGTCTGTGTATGTGTTTGTGTGCCATCAGTGGAGGCGTGCCTTCCCCTTCACCCTGTGATGTCCTGCCTGTGACTGCAGGGGAGGAGCTACGACAGGCTCATTGCCACCTTTCCGAGACAAAGGCAGCGTGAATTTGAGAGTGTGCGTTTGCACGTGTGTTGACACTTCATTCACACTGAACACACGCGTGTGCACACGAGCTTGCACAAGCTTGCACATCATCCTCACACCAAACAGAGCGGAGCCTAATTGTGTATCGATGGGTGATCACAACAATCATTATTATCATGGCTACTACTGCTTCCTCTTTCTGTCATTCTCTCTTTATTTAACATCTTTCTCAACATTCACATATGTATTAATGTTCTTGAACATAACAACCATATCCATTGCAAAACACTTTAATCCAAACAAAAGTGAAAAACCGGTTTGAGAATTAAGGAAACCTTGCAAACACAAAATATAAGAGATGGCACACTTTCCTTCCCTCTCTCCTTCACTTTACTTACCACTTCCATTTTCTCCCTTCATTCCTCCCCCCCTCCTCCTCTCAGCTGTCCTATAAAATGACCTTGAAGGTCGCACCGGTGTGCTACTCTCCTGGGCCTTGTGACAAACTGTCTTACCTGCAGAAATACACACACACACTAGTACACAGGCACCTGAGCCGCAAGCACTTCTACAAAACACATACTCGCTTGCACTTGCACTGCTGCGAGTGGTTTTCCTGTCAGCGATCTGCTGAATTGATCTGCTGTTCAGACATTGCAGAGGTCAGATGTAATGAATCAATCACGTATGCATCCACATCTAAAACAGCAGCTACAGCACAGACAGCGTGCCGCTTCAAGCCAAGGCCACAGGCTCTGGCACAGCATGCACTGACAACCTGCACATTAACAAATACAGGGAGGGATTGGTAGGTTTTAGAAAAAATATACTGGAAGATCCACAGGTGAAGGACGTGCCTGGTTTTGGGATCAAAAATAGCTGGAAGACATTTCCAATAAACAATTAAAACCAGTGCAGCCAAATGCCGAACAAAGTCAACTCTGATGGAGTTTCAAAGCTGAAAATACTGGGAATTAATACAATAATATAATCAGACAACAAAACAACAGTTTCACACTATGCAGCCAACCCAGGTCTGAAGGATCAGACGCCAATCAATCAGGGTCAGAGACAGCTGAGTGTAAAAGACATGCCCTCCGTCTGCACCTTTATTTGATCCATCCTGTCGTCGCTCTGATCTCTCACAGCTTTCATTAACCTAAAGGTGACGACGAGGACACGGGAATTGTTGCAAAAGTAAAAAATCCTCCTAATATCTTTTGATGTGCATGAGGCTGCTCAGGCTCTGTACAGAATAAGATACTAAAGATGAAGTGAGGTCAGCTGCAAGAGAGCGTGAGAGTCTCATTCACAGAGAGAAGAAAGGGACTTGAAGCATTTTACAAAATGAAAGCATGCTGTTAGATGTGAAAAAGGTTCCCTCAAGGGTTTGATCAGACAATGATCAAAGTAAATCTTTATTTCAACCTCACATGTGCTGCCTTCATTCAATGGTTTACATCTTGGTAAATAAAATGGCAAAACAATAGAATAATTGTAAAACTATTTCTGGCATTTTATTGTAATAAATTATTAAGGATGGGAGCATGGTCCTTTATTTTGTCCAATTTGTTATTTTTGATTGTAAGGTCAAAATTTACGTATGGTCTGATGGGACAAAAAAAACCCTCACAAGAATAAATATAAATTCCGTCAGATTCTCCTCGCTGTCCCCTCTCAGTGCAGTGGATCATTGGTCTAAATCCCACATAATCTATGGGTGATCAATAGCATCATCCACAGAGACCTGATCTGCTTCATCCATCACCAACCTGCCGGTTCTGACCTCACTCTCCCTCTCTCTCTCCCTCACGTGCAGCTACAGTCTCCTGCTCCACTTACCACCTGCGTGCTTGGCTCAACTTCCATATCACAGTCATTTTCTCTGAGAAATTTCACACCTTCCCTCATGAAACCATAGAATTCAAAACAACACGATCAGATCCACGTTTGGCTGCTGAACCGAACCGAGTCAGCAGCAAAGACGCAGATTCTATACGAAATTACGCACCGAACCCGATGCTGGGCTCAGCGGCGTCACTGCGTAAAAATGAAACCCGCAAAAGGTGTTTTCCACATGTGCGACTCACCTTCGGCTTCCTCTGGCTCATTGAAGAATGTCGGCGAGACGCAGGAGTTGCAAAAACAAAACACGAGCACGTCTTTCCTCTTCCTCTCCCACTTCTCTGAGTGGAGAGTGAGAGAGGGAGAGAGAGAGAGAGAGAGAGATGCTGCGGACAGGAGGAGGAGGAGGAGGAGGAGGAGGAGGAGGAGCGGTGCTGATGCTGCAGCCGAGACCTCGCAGAGCATCATTCTGCTCAGGCGCTTGCAACACGTTTGCGTCCTCTGCTGGATCATGTGAGAAATCCATTCAGTTCAATTGTATTGGTCAAATCACAACAGGGTTCTATAGTAAGGTCATAGCATTCAAAACATAACATGTTTGAATGCAGTTTTTGCAGTGGTGTGAGTTTATTTCATCATGCAAGCTGTTTTTTTAGATTTGATCTGAGAGCTTTTTACTATATTTACTGATGTTTAGTGAACCTTTGAGTCCTGTAGCAGATGAAAACACGAGCCCCTGGGAAGAGATCATGTGGATTTTTAACACCTCGTTTTATTTACAGGGAGATGTGCATGAAACATACAAACTTTAACAAGAAGAAACAGACATTGTGACAAGCAAAAACAAAAACGTAACTTGTAAGAGTAAATGGCTACATGTTGATACTGATATTGAAGTTTCTATGTTTCCACTTCTCCACTGCTGTGTAATGACTTGAAGGATCCACAAAAAGTCATGACAAACCTTTCGTGTTTATCACAAGGCACGTGTCTCGTCAACCATGTTGCCATTAATGCAGCAGGAGGAAGATCCCGTCCTCCGTCAGTGAGGCCAAGTTGAGTAGAAGGAAAACAGAACAGACAATGAATAACTGAGAAACAACAACGATAAATGCACCGATGTGACCCCAGTAGCCAGACTGCTTTTGTGATTTTTCAACAATATTAACAATTTCTAACACATCTACAAAAGAGGCAACAAAAAAGAAAAAGTCAGAGAAAATAATTTCATTATAACCACATGACAAACAGGAAGCAGCTGGTCACCGACACACGTTACGAAAGGGGAGAGCTAAGGTCAGAGTTTAAAAGCAGCATCACAGGAGGCGGAAAGAAGTCCCTTCCCTTCATCTATTTATAGAGTATATGTATGTACACTGAGTATTTCTGTCCGAGGTAAACACTGAGGTTTGGCACGACATGTACCAACAAGTTCACCAAAGATGCACATGACTCCCTCTGAACTGTCTGACACACGCACGCACGCACACACACACACACTTTAAGCTGTTATTGTCCGTTGAGTGTAAATGTGATGAAGTTTCATGTTGTAACAAGTTGTACTATGAAGAGTTAATTTCTTTGACACTCAGTAGAGAACATACCTCCACCAAGCTGCACCAAAATTTCACAGTCATATGTAATAATCCGTCCATATACCGCAGACAGCGGTGAAGACTTGATAACTTTCATTAAAATGACAATTCTGCTTATGTTAGACACGGATCATAAGAAAATCAAGACTGTGATTTATTTGACCAACTCTGACGATACAGTTTTAGTTGCACTGATAATGCAAACACAGTGTTTGATACAAGCAAAGCAACAAAGCCAAAAATAACCTAAAGACAAATAAAAATGACAATAAGTCATCAAAATACATCCTTTCCCCAATTTACAAATAATTTACTGCAAGAAATATACACAGCATTCTATATACACATGATTATGATGAATACACATGTACAACTTTGTGAGGGACTCCCAAAACACAGAACAAAATAGTTAACGCTCTGAAAGGTTGAAACAAATGATGACTATTGATGATATGTTGATAATAAGTGTTGATCAATGAATATCACAGCATTTAAATGATTAATGAATATTTTCTCAAAGGGGAACTACATGTTAAAATCGGTTCACAGGTCTTGGGGAGTAGTACAGCACAAAAAAGTTGTATAAAGCAACTAAAAAAATGGAAATAAACGTAAACATGGGTGATGAAATTCTACCTGATCAAATTCTTCATAGGCTTTTACTGAAAAATGAAGTTGAGTCAGATTCATAATTTGAAAAACACTGGAAATGATATGTTTTAGAACGTGGGTAACAAAAAGACATTAATAAACATGAGAAAAGCTTTGAAATAAAATTGAGAACAAATACACATCAATCCAAATAAAACATTTTCAAAAAGGCAGCCTGTTTTTTTCAATAAGCTACAGATGCTAAAAGACACAGCAGCCAGCACTGTGAAAACCCACTATGATCTAGTGATTCTTGAAATTAACTGGCATTCAGCAATGTCTGCGCCTGATGTTCAACATGTTCCAGGATTCACAACTCAGATCCCATACTTTCACCCAGAGTATTCGATTTTACAAATAAGAGGGTATTTAAAAAACTATCACTGTGAATTGCATTTAAATCAGATATCTGTTGAAAATGTAAAATATTTCTGTTCCGCTTTAGACCGGATCATTTCCTCTGACTGTATCTGCATGGGAAACCGACCAGAAGAATATTTTCTTTAAACACAAATCCTGCATCATAATGTGCGGTGACGTCCATGTTCTCGACTGCTTCTTGCATGAATTAAAACCACAGTGTGTAACCACGACACACTGCCAGTGTCTGCAAGCACAACCCTCGGGCCTCAGGTCATATCAACGTAATCATTCAGACTTTAAGTCGGACACATGGAAAGTGTGAGTTACAGCTTCCTGCAGTTCCAGTTCTGCTGCTGAACGAGGGTAATTACATCACCGACAAGCAGAGTGTGCTGCAGGGCCTGTTGTGCAAGCTGCCGCCCGTCAGAGGGGACCGTTGGGAGCATTTCAACATCAGTTACATAAGAGTTTATCGGGTTTAAGCGTTATTGGTATAAATCTGTATTCAGTACTGATGTGTTATCAGATTTTCAGGTCCATGTAAATAAGGTGCAGTAGCTGTACATAATTATTATTGATTACAGCACTGATTTATGCATCACCGCAGAACTTTCTGGCAACAAGACCACAGCTGTAATTTCATGTGCACATGGTCCTGCTGCCAGAAATGTAACCCAGACACTCTCTGAACAAGTTACAACCCTAACATGAAGACAATAAAATATTATGGTTCCCAGTATCTCTGACCCTCCCTGAAACATGTTTCCTGTCTCCAACATGAAGCCCTCCCCCCTTCAGACAGCAGCTGAACCTCAAGGCCAAGCACAAGGGAGTGACAAGCCTGTCTCACAAAACTGAAATAATACAAGTCATGTTTATAAATGTTCTGTTTTAGGATGATAAGATTATCACCAGCCGCCTGCGCTCTACCCGGCAGTTGAAGGGGGAACGTTACACATCTGGGAATTTTAGGCCAAACCTTTATTTTATCATTACTTTCCCCAACAAGGAGAACCGCCACTGAGGGGCTGGGAGTTGTCCTTTCAGAAATACTCTTACACAGACAGGCTGGGCGTCAGGGCAGGTTGACATATACGCAGCATGTTCCGATGCTTCCTACAAATCCCCATCGTCAAGCTCCTCCCCACCGATTCCGTTGTGAAGGAAGGCCTCCTTCTCTTGCGACACGGTCTCCGAATCGTGACTGTGCTTGGAGATGGTCATCTCCGTGTCTGGAGATGAGCGGGCCATTGCGGCCTCAGCGCTGTGATGAATGCCATAGCAGAAGTAGATCACGAATCCTGTAAAAGCAGAGCAAGAAATATCATCAGTGTCTGTGATATAGTCATTTGAATTAAAATATGGTTTTAGTGGCTTTGTGAAACTTAATGTCTGTTGTTGTGTCTGACCTCGGATTCTTTACTTAATGTGTCACAATGTGTAAATTTGCAACCTTCAAAATGATGAAAATAAACCTGACAGAGTGGTCACTTTATTGGACAGCAGTTTCAAGGTAGAAAAGAAGGGAAGAGGCAGTTTTGTGCATTTAGTCTGAGAAAAACCAACCATCCATTGATTAGAGACTCTCAAGTGAAACGTGTCCCATTAAAAGTCAATTTCAGTTTAAAATCTGCAACATGTGTGTCAATATCAAGGGTAAGATGGATAGCAACAGAGCATCACTACCTATGGCCATCCAGACTGAAAATCGTATCCAAGTGCCTCTGTCCAGCTGCATCATCAGGTAGACATTCACAAACATGCTGATCACTGGGATGAAGGGCAGCATTGGAACCTAAGGAGGGAATTTCAGAGAAAGAAAACATGAACCTGAGTGAAGCATACGGTTCAGGAGGTGATGATGAAGTGTCATTATTCTACAGAGGGAGTTCCTGGAATCAAACCTTGAAAGATAGTTTTGTCTTGCTCTCAGGTTGTCTCCAGATGATGAAAGTGAGGAAGAGACACACCATAAAGATGATGCTGAGGGCTACCAAGTTCCACACAGCGAAGCCTCCCTGCACAGCCAGTACACTGAACACCAGGATCAACGTCCCTGAAAGGCACACATTTTTATAGTATTTAATGTTTAACTCTGCACAAATCTCACCAGTAAGTTGATATACTTCTCTTTTGTTGCTGAAACACAGTTAGTCTGAATCACCTACCCATGAGAGAAGCACAGACATTGACGGAGAAGCCCGACAACATGGATGGCTCTGGGTTGTCTGGGAATAGCAGCGCCTTGAAGCTAAACCGTTCCTCCACACCAGGCAGGATGCCTATACTAGGGATGCTGATGCCGTCGCTTAGCTCAACCTCCTCCTGGGTGTTGGTCATCTCATACGCCATACTGGGCTGCTCCGGCTGGTACCTGACGCAATCAAACACACACATTAAGCTGATTCAAACTCAAATGTGTTTCCTCAAGTGCTTCCGCCTGAAAATAGGATCAACAAGGCACATTCAACAAGGGAGATATTCTCCTGGTGTCCCACACTAGGTTGTATACACTGATGTCCCCAACACTGACCTCAGCACCAAGACACAGGCCGCCACTAATGTGTAGGCCAGCAGCGTCCCTATTGACATCAGGTCCACCAGGTCCTTCAGGTCAAACAGAAAGGCCATGATAGCTTCAAATGAGCAGGAAAGAGAAGAAAGAGAGAGCGATAAAGATATTTGCTTGAGTGTGAGAACATTTTCAAGTTAGGCCACTGACTGATGTGTGATAAACCGCTATTTAAAAGTGTTGCATGTCATTGAAAAGCCAAACGTTGTCTCTACCAGCCATTACAACAGGAAAGCCGCAAGATGACATAAAATTATTCTCCTGACTTTAAATTAAATATAAACATCATCTCATGCATCCTCCACTTCTTCATCACTATGTCACCCTGTAACCCTCTCTTAATTACATGGTGATTACACTGTTTGGTATTTGTCAAACACATGAGATGAGTCTCCAGCAGGACACGACCTCTCAGCTGAGCGTGTGATCACAAACGTGCAGGACTGATACAAAAGATGGGCACATTTCTCTATCATCATGCTTGCTTAATCTAAAGTAGAAGCTAGTGGTTGTAACATGTGCACACATACTGAATCACAAATTATTACTCTACTATCAATCTAATACAGTAGCTGAGTAAAATTAGTGGAAGACTTTTTTGTCAGCAGGAATAAGCTCTAACATCACTTCCCAAAGTTTTTATGTAAAAAAGGCAGAAGCACCTGATAAAGGGTGGAGCTATAAACCCAAAGGCTACAAATACAATTTGGTTTGAGTCCTTTAGTGTTTGTTTACCTTGATAGGTGCTAAACTCTATAAGAAGGCTTTACATCGCCCCCTGGCTTGTACAGTGCCACAACCCACATCCATTCACTTTTTTTGACTGAGTGACCATGACAGTGTTTTCCGTTAATTATCTAGACTCAGCTGGCCCGGTTTAATTGTGTCTTCCATAAGAGATCTTTAACGCAACTAGATGAGCACAGAGAAATCCCGATGACTGGTGGATCTTTAAAAAACATGTTTTTACCATCCTTGGCAGGCAGGTTTGCAATGGAGTTGGGCACGAGAGCTTGCTGCATGCTCACTGGCCAATGACTAATCAAACCTCTCAGACATGATTCGAACTGACCGCTGACCATGCACCGTCCAGCTGTATATAAGGTTTCACCTGCAGCCTTGTTTACCCCCTTTAGATCGACACTGATCTCTGAAACCCGTTTTCATCTTACCAGACATAACCCCAGCAACCATAGTGGACGTTATGGGGGACTTCCTCTCACTGACGTGGGCCAAGAAGGAGAAGAGCAGGCCATCTCTAGCCATGGCAAAGATGATACGGGGTAGGGGGAACATGGAACCCAATAGACTGGGGTGGAGTGGGGGAAGAAAACATCAGATTGGGATGACATTTGTAGGTGTAGAGCAGAGGAACACGAGGGAAGGAACGATTGAAGGTTTCAGTAGGAGAAACAGGGGAGGTGTTGTTGGTAAGACAGTGAGTAATGTCAGTAAGACAGTGAGTAATGTCAGTAAGACAGTGAGTAATGTCAGTAAGACAGTGAGTAATGTCAGTAAGACAGTGAGTAATGTCGGTAAGACAGCGGTTAGGGGGATTCAAGGTGGGAGGATGTGCAACGGGATACTCGAGTGGGTGCACTGCAGAGCATCAGGGGCATGATGGTGGTCCAAGTGCATTCTGATGTCAGCATGCAAAAAGTATCTCCCTTAAAAACCAAATATTGTGCTCTACATGCTGCTACTCTCCATTCCAATGTAAAACCCTAGGTTACTTCACCATGCAGTTTAGTTCTGTATTCATATTCCTCCTTACATCACTAAGACACGGGTAGAAAATATCCCTTAAGTCGCCGAAGATTCAATAAAACATGACAAAGTCACTGGACCATGCAAGCAGAGACACACTAACCTAAATACACACTGTTCGCGCTGTAGCGTGAAAAGACGTCTCTGTGTGATTGGATGCAGTTTAAAAACATGCGTGTTAGTATCTCACCTGCCCCTATGCCCGAGGTGAGGGTTGCAATTAACGGGGTTTTGGTGCGGGGGCTGATCTCGGCCATGAACTTGAAAAGCAGCCCATCGTCGGCCATAGCCCAGATCACACGGGGCATAGGGAACATAGCACCCAGCAGGCTACCAGGGGGGAAGACCAGGATATATAGTATCCACACTTACAGACATGAAAAGGCCGTGTAACATACATCAACATAGACACAAGCTCACAAAGACAAAGCACATAAATAGTATATATACACATTAAATTTACACAACCTTATTCATACTGTGCATGACATATAGGGTAAGAGTAATAATGGAATGTTTAATACCCAAGCAAACATCTGTTCACACCTATCAACCTGACCTCAATATACTGTACACACTCTTTCAAACGAAGAATAATTCAATCATGCATTATTTAAAAAAAAGAAGCAAATTACACATACAAAATTAAATATGTGCATATGGTAAGACCATTTTAATAAAACGCTTAACAGCTGGTTATTAGTGAAAATGCAGCTTGTGATGAGCGCTTGTGACTTGCGGCACGGTTACAAAATAACATACTGGAATTTTATTTTCAGTTCAAGGGATCAAATGCCCTATGAAGCTAAATATACACTCACATAGTCACATGCACACACAGACACGTGCACACACAACTAAACGTGTGTCTGCGCGTTTAGCTGAACGAGAGACAGAACCAGAAGATGCATTTTGCAGTGCAGGTGTGTGTAACTGCTCACCTGGTCGACAGAGCACACAGAGAGCCTACAGCTACAGCGTATTTAGCTCCTCCCCAGCCCACATATTTAAAAGCTACAGGCAGAGGGCTGTTGCTGTCCAGCAGGTAGTACGGCATCATGAGGGTGAGGGCAGCGGATACACCGAAGTACGCGACGAAGCAGATGAGCAGCGAGGACACGATGCCGATAGGGATGGCTCTCTGCGGGTTCTTCACCTCTTCACCTAGGACGTGGAAAAACAATGAAAGTGGCAATAAATACAATTTTTACTCACTTTTTATTCCACCAGGTGCAAACATTTGTCTTTTTTGAAGAAAAGGGCAGTGGCAGTGCTGTGCAAAAAGGTTCCTGGTTCTTTCTGTGTGGAGTTTGCATGTTCTCCCAGTGTTTGTGTGGGTTTCTCCAGATACTCCATATCATAATAAACTAGATCACCTCCATAAGCTGTTTCCAGCATCCCAGCTTAGTAAAATTGCTTTTGTTACATTGGCAATAACATTTTCTTAATTGTACATTAAGCTGTCAAATTACTCCATAACTAGTTTAAATGGAATAGGTCATTTATTTTGGAGGAGACATAATTAGCATCCCTCCATTAGCTGCTATGTCAGATATTTTTTTTAATAACTAACTATTTACATTTTCAATACAAGGATGCAGCTCAGAACAATGCACAGTATCCACTCCTTGGCTGTGGTGGCAGCATTCTTGAAAACACGGAAAACTGTCGAAACAGAGATATATTCAAGAAACATTCCGTGTGGTATTTTGCAACACATTTGAACAAGGAGCTTATTTTCTCCCTGTGCACCCAGAAGACTAAAACACACAACTATTCGGACGTAGCAGGCGATTATGCAACAGCACTCCGAATGCGAACACTCAGGTCTTGTTCTGCAGTGAAATCACATTGCGATGATGGAGCGTGTCCTGCACCACTATTCATGATGAATGACAGATACTGATTTAACCCAGATTGCTGGAAGGTCAGGGGTCACAAGGATAACAGAGGTTACAGTTGTGTGGATGTAACACACACACACACACACACACACACACACACA